ATCTGTCATGCTTCTTAATTTTCTTAAGAATATTTGTGTGCTCTTTCTCTATGCATTCTAAACTGTCTTCAGCCTCCAATATTCTTTCGTCAGCCTCCTCCATTCTACTTTCAAGGCATTTGAACTTGGTGTTTATCACCTTTCCTTCTTGATGGTCTTTCTTAATGATGGCCAGGTATTTATTAACATTTCTTTTAAGTCTTGAATAGATTGCCTTACCTCCTGGAGTTCGTTATCAGACTTCTCTTTCCACTCAATCTGGGTTTCTATCTTTTCATTAGATTATTTTTCCCTCTGCTGGAGTTCCATTATCTTTTTATTTGTGGAGGCCATGTGGCCTCTTTGGTCAGGACATTAATTCTACTTGTGAGATCTCTATGTCAAGATCTGATCATCAACCAAGGATCTAGTTTTCAATAATATCTGATTGGTGATTATATTTGTATCAGATAGAGTTGGAGATTATAGAGCTACTCATATGATAGCAACAGATAATAAAGTAGATAAATGTTTCATAACTTTATGATTATATATTGGTAAATTGTTTTTAGTATATTTAGATAAATTGTTATTTTCAATACTTTGGCAGACATAATAATCTGAGAGATTAAGGAGAAGAATCAGCAAAGCAGCAGAACAAAATAACAAACTCAATAGGCAGGGTAAAACTGGAGTCAATTCTAAAAATTTTTATTACCAAGGTGATGTACAGAGGGGTCATATTTACATAAGTAAATCAGTGATTACATTTGTTTTCTAACTTTTTACCCCTTCCCTCATTTTTCTCCCTCTTGCTCTCCCATCCAAATTCCCCTCCCCAAAGTTGTACAGATCATTTCCAACATATTGTCTTGTGAGTGTCACTGTTGCATAGGTTCCCTCTTTGTCCTTTGTCTCACTATTTTGTTGTTCTGGAATTATTTTTTTCACACATGCATTGTGGCATTTACTACCCCAAAACAAAATTTTCAAAAGTGTACAGAGTAATCAAGTAAATGCAATAAAAATTACTAAAAAATAATTTTCTTAGATTAAAAATTTTTTATTAGAAATGAAAGTGTGATGTATGTCTGTGTGGTAGTTGTGTAGTAGTGTATACATGCGTATGTGGTTGTGTGTATTTGGTTGTATGTGTGAGGGTTAGAAAGAAGTATAAAAATCATTTTTTCTTATTTAAAATCTTTTATGAAGATAGAGATTTTCCTTTCTTCTAATGTCTAAAATAGTAAATAGAAATAAACTGATTATATTTGGCACTATGTAATCAAATACTATATTTTCATAATAGACGTATGTAAGATGATAACGGAAGCCAGTGTGGTAGTTTCTTGTCATGGCAGTGGTGCGATAGTTCTCTTAGAATATTCTCCACATAATTCTACACGAGATTAGTAATTTTTTTTTTGTCGGTCTTGGGGCTTGAACTCTGGCCTTGGGTGCTATCCCTGCACTCTTCAGCTCAAGAAGAGTGCTCTACCGCTTGAGCCACAACATTACTTCCAGTTTCTAGTGGTTAATTGGCGATAAGAATCTAACGATCTTTTCTGCATGGGCTCCCTTTGAACCCTGATCCTCAGATCTCAGCCTCCTGAGTAGCTATGATTACAGGTGTGAGCCACCAGAACTCGGCTAGTAATTATTATTATTTTTAAATAGCTTCTTCCCAACTTGAAATTCGTGAAATATTTCTGTCCTATACAGAAAATAAGATGCATTTTTTTCTCCATATACATTTGTTCAACTCTACATATATAAAGCAATGCATTTCTTTATGTGCAGTGCTTTGCATTCCATATAATTTTCGACTCACATTACTTATCACAAAAAGAGCATGATAGTTTTTCAAATTGATTATATATACATTTATGACATATAATTATTTTATTTGAATACAAAATCTTATTTATTCCTTAATTATATATCTGTAATATTTTCCAGACATTGCAATTTGCTTTGTAACATTTAACATTCAGAAGAATACATGGTAAAGAAAAAAACCTGACAGTCAGAAAAATAAGCTATTTACAATAGATAAGAAAATGATCAAGATATTGAAAAGTGTTTCAAAGCCCATGCCCATTTCTTTAACAACTACAGGGGAGCTTGGAAGGGAAGAAACAAAGCACAGGGTAACAATTCTTAATAGGAAATGTACTCATTACCTCACGCATGTAACTGTATCTTTACAACAAAAAATATATTTATTTTAAAACAAACAAAAACAATTACAGCATATTTTAAACAAACAAGCACAAGACAATATTTATCTTCTTGAAATGTACATAAGAACAAAAATGTTAAAAAGCAAAATCTTAGGTATCTAATTTTTTTGCATAAGGCAATTTTTATTCATGTGAAAGAGGTCATGTCAGTGCTTACTCTGTTCGGTTTTATTTGAGTGACATTTAACTCTGAGAGTGTAATTTTTATTTGTTCACCAATGGCATTTTGAACCTTTAGGTTTAACTGGAAAATGTAGATGAGAAAAACTCAGGAAGATGAATAAATATTACATTTATTTTATACAGAAGTGTTTAGTACGTCTGCTATAGTAAAGTTTAGCTATGATAAATCCATCTTGGATAAAATATTTCCACGAAAATTTTAGATTTTTTTCAGGTTAAGCAAATAATCAGTCATTAATTTAACTGATTTGTTATATTTTAGAATCATTTATTGGTATAAGTAGCATTTTGAAAACAAGATTAAGGAAAGTAATCTGTATCAAGTTCTAGAATTATCACAATAAATTAAAGAGAATGTGAAGCCTTAAACAACCGAAAATCATTTTCACTCTTCTAGAGGACAGAGTTTTGAAAGAAGTTGTTAGAAGTGTTGATTTCTCATGTAGGCTGAGCAGAAAGTCTGTTTAGGATATGCTTACAGATGCCCATCCTCCCCGTATATCTCTCTACCATCTTGTTTCTTCCCTTGATTGTGTTTTGATTACTTCAAACAAGCACATCAATAATATCTCCATCATGGAACTCACTTAACCTTAAGAACCTCTGGCGTTATCCATCTCCATTACAGTCACACTCTGAAGTACTGGGGGTGAGTCGGTCAGCATTTGAAATTGTCATTGACCCAACGTAGCCAAAATTGTCTCTTTGTAGAAATTTCATTTTTAAAAAGTCAATAAAATAAACAATTCTTATAACATATATAGTAGATCTTTTAACGATAGCTATATAAAGTAAGAGAGTTTAATGAAACAAAATGGACAGCTAGAGGATGAAACCAGAAGGAACTCTAAAATTTGAGTGCTCCATAAAATAATGTACAGGTTCCTCTAAAAACTAAACATAGAATTTCTCTATGACTGAGTAATTCCACTCCCGGCACTTACCCAAAAAGTACAAATAAATGTCTAGTATAACCACGTTAATTACAGCATTATTCACCATAGTCAAGATATGAAATCATCCCAGCCACCCCTCAGAGGACAAATGGACCCAGAAAAACCTGGTATATATAAACAATGGAATTTTATTCATTACTTCGAAAGAATGATATTGTACCATTAATAAGGAAATGGGAAGACTTGAGAAAATTTATATTAAGGGAAATCAGTCAGATGCAGAGAAACAAAGGCCTCATGTTTTCCCTCATTTTGGGTAGAATTTGCCTATAAATCGGTAAGTAAATACTTTGGATAGTGTGCAAGTGGTTAAAAAATTATTAACTAAAATATATTAGACTCTAGAGAGAATGTAAATAATGTAATTCCTTTGAAAGACAAAGGCAAAACCCAACAAAATAAGCACCAGGAAAAGGATACTTGTAAGAGTATACCAGGGAGAAAGGGTAGAGAAATAAATGAGAGAAGAATACAATCAATAACTTATTGTATATACTACAATAAGAAAAGTATGGAAAAGGGTGGGTAGAAAGGGGGTGAGAATGTTGAAAGGGATGACATGGATCAAGATGCACTGTACTAATAAACAGTTTTGTTAAATGACAACTTTTATATTTAAAGATTAAAAACAAATAGAAGCAAAACACAATATGAGTGAGTTAAAAGATCAAGATGTAACAGTAAAAGTGAAAGAGGACTGAATATCTTTTATCTACAATATGGCTGTCAATGTATAACATTTTCTAGTTTTACATAAATTAATTAATGTTTTTATCAATTTATTGCCAGTATTAGGGATTGAATTCAGCCTTGAGTGATCATGGTTGGAGCTCTAACACTTGAGCCTCACCTACACTTTTGGCTTTTTGTTACTATGAGTCTCACAGACTTTACTGATGGGTTGGCCCTGAAGGGGGATGCTTGTTTCTCTGCATCCTAAGTAGCTAGGATTACAGGCATTAGCCACCAGTGTCTGGCTAGAAAACACACTCGGAGAAGTTTCCATTTTATAATCCACTCTACTTTTAATTCTTGTCTATTGAAAACCATTATATTCATTGTCACATTTCAATTTTTTACAGGCTCAAGTTATTCTGTGAATACCAAGTATTTAGCGTTCATATAGTATGCTTTTAAACTAGAAAAAATGATGTTACTAGAACATGGTTTTAATATATTTGAAATACTTTGTTTCAGTAATATAAATTCATGCAATTCAGAATTAGTTGTATGTGTGTTGCTAAATGCTTGAACTCTCAGATCATTTTTAATAGACTCACAGTTTAATTAAATCACCATCCACTATGTTTTATATATCATACATATTTTAAGCATGAGCAAGAAAAATTGCTTTTGAATGTATTCAAAATAACATAGTATCATATGAATAGAAAGATAAGGATAATCTTTAAATTTAGCAAGAGAAACAATAGTTGTGGAAAGGCCAATTTATTATCCCCTACTGAAGCATATCAATAACTCAAAAATGACACAAAAATGAGTTCATAGAAGTGAACTGAAAAGTAAGTGATTTTTCTCTTTTTACAAAAGATTCAAGTACACATGCTTTATTTCCTTCAGTGTTTGGATATCTTTGAATTGAAATATTTCAGAGGGAATTATATTATGTGATGAGTACCAAGGCTACTGTAGCATTGCATTATGTACAACTAATAACATTACAATTGAGAAAAATAACTGAGAATATATTAATTTGATGTACATATACAAATTCAAAAATCACCTTGTCGCGGGCCTTCGCGATGCTTTGTTTTAATTAAACAGTCGGATTCCCCTGGTCCTCACCAGTTCTAAGTCGGCTGCTAGGCGCCGGCAGAGGCGAGACGCCGCGCGGGAAACCGCGGCCCGGGGGGCGCACCCGGCGGGGGAGACCGGCGCGGTGGCCCCCCTCCCTCCCCCCCCCCCCCCCCCCCCCCCCCGACGCCCCCCGCAGCTTTGGAAAGCAGTATGGAGGTTCCTCAAAAGACTTCACATAGAGAAGCTTCTCTTTAAGTCTTTCGCCCACTTACTTATTGGGCAGTTGTTTCTTTGAGGATTTGTTGTTGGGTGGTTTAATTTTTTGAGTTCCAAGTATATTTTAGATATGAGACCCTTGTCCGTTGTATGGCTAGTAAAGATCTTCTCCCAGTCCGTGGGCTTTCTATTGATCTTGCTAGCTCTGTCATTTGCCCTGCAGAAGCTCTGCAACCTTATACAATCCCATTTGTCCAACCTTTCTTTGATTTGTTGTGTTTCCGGGTCTCTATTCAGAAAATTTCGGCCTGAGTCAAGGAGACCCAGGGTTTCTCCTATTCCATCCTACATGAAGAAATGTTCAACATCCTTAGCCATAAAAGAAATGCAAATCAAAACACCATTGAGATATCACCTCACTCCAGTTAGAACAGCAAAAATCAAGAACTCTAACAACAACAGATGCTGGAGGGGATGTGGACAGAAAGGAACCTTACTTCATTGTTGGTGGGAATGTAAACTTGTTCAACCAGTTTGGAAAGCAGTATGGAGGTTCCTCAAAAGACTTCACATAGAACTCCCCTATGACCCAGCAATCCCACTTTTGGGCATTTACCCTAATGTTTACAAACAAGACCACACTAAAGCTACCAGCACAACTATGTTTATTGCAGCATTATTTACCATAGCTAAGATATGGAACCAACCCAGATGCCCCTCAGTAGATGAATGGATCAAGAAAATGTGGTATATATACACAATGGAATTCTATGCCTCCATCAGAAAGAATGACATTGCCCCATTTGTTAGGAAATGGAAAAACTTGGAAAAAATTATATTAAGTGAAGTAAGCCAGGCCCAAAGAAACGTAGGTCCCATGGTTTCCCTTATTTGTAATATCTAGTATATGTATGAGTCAAGCGGAAAAGGTCAGATAATGTGATGTCAGGAAAATGAACCCTTAGATGTGTATTTTAATGTTTTTTTCTTTCATGCATGTGTTTCTAATGCATTTATAAGATTATCTCTTTGTTACTTTGTATGTCCCTCCCCCACAGTATAACCCCTGCTTTCACTATATTTGATGTCAGTATAACTTGTGGAGGAGATGGGGAAAAACCAGTTGTTTAAGGATACAGGTGCACCTGTTGCAACAATGAGAAGTACAAGTTGTCATGTCCAAAACGAGCTTTACAACGTTGGGGGGGGGGAAGGAGAAGGATTGGGATTGGGGGGGGAGGGGGGAGGCTGGGAAGGGATGTGAAGGGTAAACAAAGGAGGAGGCTGCAATGCTTGGTAAGAAATGTACGCATTATCCTGCCCATGTAACTGTAACTCCTCTGTACAGTATGTTCACAAATAAAATTAAATTAAATTTAAAAAAAAAAAGAAATAGCAATAAAAAACAAATTAAATACAAAAAAAAATCACCTTGTCAAAAGCAGTTTTTAAAAGTCATACACAATAAAGGAAAGATGTGGGGTTAGAGATATAGTTTAGTAGTTAGAGTGCCAGCCAATGAGGAAAGCATCAAGTACTTAGTTTGAGTCCCAGTTTTGCAACAAGGAAAGAAGAAAGGCAGAAAGGGAAAAAAGGAACAAAAGAAAGAAGGAAAGAAAGAAAAGAAAGGAGATAAAATGAATCGTTTGATGAACAGTTGTTTTTTTTCCCCTGAAGACTACATGAATGATCTGAATCAAAGGCAAGTTCAGAGATTTTGAATTCATTTACAAAAAAGGAAATAAAAGAAACAATAACTACCATGCATTGTATTTTTATTTTGTCAGACATTATTCATAACCTTTTCTTAAGTACTTTTGCTTGAATAATAGACGTCCAGTGAGATAGTGTTATTAGAAAATTGAAACTAAATTAAATGCTGGTAGAATGTGGTATCACTAAATTCCAAATTTAATTTTAACCCAAAGTCTGCTTCTTCTTTCCCAATGATACCTAGTTCAAAAACAGACTAACAGCAATGAATTGAACTTACATACACATACACACACACAGAAAATAACATAGACAGTTTCTTCTTTGAAGTATTGTTTTTTTAATTAGTTAATTATTTTAATTTTTTATTACTTTAGTTTGAATTCAGGACCTTAGGCTCTTAACATTGGGTGACAGCTACAGCCCATTTATTGCTTTTTCACTAGGCACACACCTATGCCACACTTTCCATTATATACAGAGTAACAGGCTCTTGGTACTGTGTCCACTACTCAGCTCAGAAAATGGGGCTGGTGGAAGGGGCCCATTTCGGATGTTACAAAACTTATTGTTAAGACGTGCCTTAAGGATTCGGAGAAAGAAAGTAGAAGGGCAGCTAGGGACTAACCAGAATCAACTCTAAATGAAACAATGACCTTGAAGTAAAAGCAGACAACCTGAAAACATTACAGGCAGGAATACAAGACATTCTAAGTAGGGCTCCTTGGCACAGGCCAAAATTTTCTTAATAAAGATCCAGAAACAACAAATCAAAGAAAGTTTGGACAAATGGACTTGCATTAAACTGCAGAGCTTCTGCATGGCAAAGGACATAGCTAGCAAGATGAATGGAAAACCCATGGATTGGAAGAATATCTTCACTAACCATACAACAGAGAAGGGCCTCATATCTAAAATATAATTAGAACTCAAAAAATTAAATCCTACAAAAGAATCAACCACCCCATTAAGAAGTGGGCTAAAGACTTCAACAGAGACATCTATGAAGAAATAAGAATGGCCAATAGACCCATGAAGAAATGCTCAACTTCTCTAGTCATGAAAAACAGAATTGAGATTCCACCTCAGCCCAGGTAAGAATGGCTAAAATGGATCAAAGACCTCGGAGTCAAAGCAGACACTCTGAAAACATTACAGGATGGAATGGGAGAAACCTAGGTCTCCTTGGCACAGGCCAAAATTTTCTTAATAGAGACCCGGAAACACAACAAATAAAAGAAAGGTTGGACAAAATGGGATTGCATGAAGTTGCAGAGCTTCTGCATCGCAAAGGACATAGCTAGTAAGATCAATAGAAAGCCCACGGATTGGGAGAAGATCTTCACTAGCCATACAACGGACAGGGGTCTCATATCTAAAATATACTTGGAACTCAAAAAATTAAATCCCCCAACAACAAATCCTCAAAGAAACAACTGCCCAATAAATAAGTGGGCTAAAGACTTAAAGAAAAACTTCTCTGAAGAAGAAAGAAGGATGGCCAATAGACACATGGAGAAATGCCCAACCTCCCTAGCCATAAAAGAAATGCAAATCAAAACAACATTGAGATACCACCTCACTCCAGTTAGAATGGCAAAAATCAAGAACTCTAACAACAACAGATGCTGGAGGGGATGTGGACAGAAGGGAACCTTACTTCATTGTTGGTGGGAATGTAAACTTGTTCAACCACTTTGGGTAGTATGGAGGTTCCTCAAAAGACTCCACATAGAGCTCCCCTATGACCCAGCAATCCCACTTTTGGGCATTTACCCAAATGTTTACAAACAAGACCATACCAAAGCTACCAGCACAACTATGTTTATTGCAGCATTATTTACCATAGCTAAGATATGGAACCAACCCAGATGTCCCTCAGTAGATGAATGGATCAAGAAAATGTAGTATATATGCACAATGGAATTCTATGCCTCCCTCAGAAAGAATGGCATTGCCCCATTTGTTAGGAAATGGAAAGACTTGGAAAAAATTATAAAGTAAGCCAAGCCCAAAGAAACATAGATCCCATGGTTTCCCTTATTTGCAATATCTAGTATATGTATGAGTCAAGCAGAAAAGGTCAGATAATGTGATGTTAGGAAAATGAACCCTTAGATATGTATTTAATTTTTTTTTCTTTCATGCATTTGTTTCTAACGCATTTATTAAGATTATTTCTTTGTTGTTTTGTATGTCCCTCCCCCACAGTATAACCTCTGCTTTCACTATATTTGATGTCAGTATAATTTGTGGAGTAGAAGGGGAAAAACAAGTCGTTTAACGATACAGGTGGATCCATTGCAACAATGAGAAGTACAAGTTGTCATGTCAAAAACAAACTTTACAACTTTGTTGGGGGGGGAGGATTGGGTGGGTGCCGGAGGAGGCTGGGAAGGGATGTGAAGGGTAAACAAAGTTGAAGGCTTAAATGCTTCATAAGAAATGTACTCATTGCCGGGCGCTGGTGGCTCACACCAGTAATCCTAGCTACTCATGAGGCTGAGATCTGAGGATCGCGGTTCAAAGCCAACCCGGGCAGGAGAGACCGCGAGACTCCTATCTCCAATAAACCACCAGAAAACCGGAAGTGGCGCTGTAGCTCAAGTGGTAGAGCGCTCGCCTTGAGCTGAAGAGCTGAGGGACAGCGCCCAGGCCCAGAGTTCAAGCCCCACGACCAACAAAAAAAAAAAAAGAAAGAAAGAAATGTACTCATTATCTTGCCCATGTAATTGTAACCCCTCTGTACAGTATGTTCACAATAAAAAAATAAAATAAAATAAAATAAAAGAATAGCTATAATCAAGAAATCTAATAACAACAGATGCTGGAGAGGATATGGCCGAAAGAGGACACTAATGCACTGTTTCTGAGAGTGTAAATTTGTTCAACTACTTTGGAAAGCTGTATGGAGGTTCCTCAAAAGAGTCCCCTATTGCCGGGAGCCCGTGGTTCATGCCCATAATGCTAGCTATTCTGGAGGCTGAGATCTGAGGATCACTGTTCAAAGCCAGCTCAGGCAGTAAAGTCCATGAGACTCTTATTCTCAATAAACCACCAAAAAACCAGAAGTAGTGCTGTGGCTCAAGTGGTAGAGTGCTCACCTTGACCTGAAGAGCTCAAGGACAGTGTCCAGGCCCAGAGTTCAAGCCCTAGCAAACCAAGAAATACCAAAAACAAAACAAAGCAAAAAAAAAAAAAAAAA